GACATGTTCTTGTGAGATTATGATCTTGCTTTGTCTGGATGCTGTTCTTTAAATGTATTTATTGATCTGGTATCATTGCAGAAGGGTTTTATGTGTGTGTGTGTGTGTGAGTGGATCCGGTCAGTGGGAATCATGTATGTTTGTGTCTCTGGTTCATGTTCCTGACCCCAGCAGCTCTGTGCGTTCAGACACACATACGCACACACACACACACACACTGTTTGTTGTCTCTGGCACTGCTGTGTGTATGTGTGATGCGCTCTGATTCCTCACGCTCCGCTTTGATGTTCAGTGAAGCGGGAAGACCCTCACAAATCACACACGCCTGTCATCCAACAGGCACCCCAGCATGCTACAGGTGCAATTCTTTACACACCGGGCTCATAAGTGCTTGTACACATGATTGATACACTGTGTATGACTCTGCAGTGTGTAATGCAAAATAAATCATTTGTCCAATTAGACTCGAAGTCTGTCTGTTCCTGCACTGTAAAAAAATATTTTCATGATTTGTAATTACATTTTTTCTTTTGTCAAATCAACTTAGATAATTTATGTAATTCAGATAACATCATATTTTGAGTTTCTGGTGATTAAATCAAGCTCCTTCATTGTATTAACTCAATTTATCCATTTCAATGAACTTAAAATTTGAAGGCAACCAGGTTACTTCATTTTTTAAGTTAAACCAACAACACTTGCTTATTTCACTGAAGTGGACACTGGGGTAACAGCAAGGGTTAAAGGCGTCATTTGAGACAGGGCCGAAGTATGTCTCGATAAAGAAATCAAAATGGACAAATCTTGTTTTGGTGGTGTTGTTTTTTTGGGAAAACCTATTACTCACATGAGATACCAATATGGGCAAAACAAGTCCCACACTATATTTTTCTTGTTCGAGAAGCAGATGCACATTTAGCCTGACGTCGTCATACTCGGATTCTAGTCTATACTGCTCCATTGGGCTGTGATTATGGGTTTCGGCGTTTCAACCGAACCAGGAAAGAAAATGCCTCTGCACTCAATTGGATAGACGTACAACCAATCAAAGCAACGCAGTAAGTCTATACGTATGTTGTTCATTCATGTTTCCGATCGACAAATGACTTGATCACGGTTCTCTGTTCCTCTTAAAACCAATTCGATGGCAGAATCTACACATCTCAATTCTCCAGCGGCAGGCCGGCAGCCGGCTTTGTTGTAAACTAATTCAACCCAAGCGCTCTTTGGAGACGTGGGTGATTACGTTACTGTTCACCATCATCTAATAAATTGATGGCCTGACAATTTGATTGGTCCGAACAGCTCTGGTTCAAGCGTAGTTGCTCCACAACAGATCAAGTCCAGACTCCAGACTGAACTTTCCGACCTCAAATGTTGTGGGCTGAGTTCGGCTGGCTATCGAAAAAGACTATCGCAACTTTTGTTGCATGCCGATTTTAAAGGAGTGGTTCACTTTTAAATAAACTTTTGCTGATAATTTACTCACCCCCATGTCATCCAAGATGTCTATGTCTTTCTTTCTTCAGTCGAAAAGAAATTGATGAAAACATTCCAGGATTTTTCTCCATATAATGGACTTCAATGGGTACCAAAGGGTTCAAGGGCCAAATGAGAGTTTCAGTGCAGCTTCAAACAGCTTTAAACGACACCAGATGATGAATAAGGGTCTTATCTAGCGAAATGATCGCTCATTTCAAAAATAAATAAAAAAGTTTGTTTTATAAGCACAAATGCTCGCCTTGCTCTGTTCTGTGATGCATGTTCGTGATTCTCCTGTTCATCAAAATGAACGAATCTTTTTTAGAGTCATTTGGTTCATTCAATGAGCGAAATGAACAAAATGACTCAAACAGATATGTTAATTTTGATGAACGAGTTCGAACAGGAGAGTCACGAACGCGCATTTCCGCCAGTGTTTTTCACATTTGTGTACAAAATACATCATATACACAGTTCTGAGTTCTGAGGATACCTGCTAACTGTAGTGTTTTGAGCTGAATATATTTCATAACATTGATCTGTCACAGTGGGGAAGAATGATTATGAAGGTCTGGGAGAGTAAAATTGACTCTTGTAGGCAGATTGTTCTGTCATTTGATCTCTGATGAGGGTTTCAGAGACCCCCCGTCGGCCAAAAACTCATGAATCATTCATGAAATCAGCATTAATCAATATCCCTTTTCATTTCATGCATGTGTCGCGCATTTAGAGCCTTGATTACAGATTCACAATGCAAACCTTTAAAAAGTTTATTTTTCATTTCTTTAGTTTCTTTTCTTCTTCCTTTTGTCTGTTTTTGCTGGTTCGTTTCAATGGTTCTTTGTTTTATTTGTTTTTTCTTGCCTTGGTTTTGTTCCTGTGTTTGTCCTTTTGTTCTATATTTTTGTTTATTTGTTTGTCTATTGCCATTGTTTGTTTGTTTTTGTTGCTTTGTTTGCAAGAAAGCATTCTTTTGTGGTTTCTTTCTTGCTTTCTGTCATGCTGAGATGCATTAAGCAAGGTTGATATATATAAGGCAGACACTGTGGAGAGGAGCGGATTAGATGCGTGTCCTTGACCCCTGACCCTAACCTCTGTCACAGGTCAATGCTGTTGTGGGGTTAAACACACACTCATTGATTGCTGTCTGAGACCAGACAGAACAGGAGAGCAATATGTGGGGGTTTATGTGTGTGTTCAGTGTCTTACCCCTACACTATTGCTATCGTTGACAACTTACGCTGCAGCTTCCGTTATTTTTCCGTTATAACTGGAGTTAGTAGAGTTTAAGGTGGACTTTTTGCTCTTAGTGTAAATAGACACTTTGTGTTTATAAACCAATGCATGCAACACTATTACATGCCCACTTTAGTCCAAATGGACATATATTGGACAGATTGGTTACTGTTATTACAGCCCGTTCTCATCCCCAAGGCGTCATATACTGACGCTTTTGACATTTTGTCTACATCCAACGCACATGGCACCCTTTAGAGTCAATATGAGACGCAGATATATATATATATATATATCAGTGATGCGCGGGTCAATGTATAAACAACCCGCAACCGACCGACGTTTTCAACTACCCGCCCGCAACTCGGACCGCAAAAAATAGTAAAATAATATTGTACCCGACCCGCTTCCTGGCCGCATTTTTTAAAAGTAGTAAATGCTCATCGGAGCGTTATTGGGCCATAGACGTGTAACAACACAGCATCGCAAGAAGATGTAGGCCTACACATAACAAAGGCAAAGCCAGCACTTTGGTCATCATCTTTCATTATTTCAGCAAATGTCTCCTACACTTTTACTCTTTCTATTTGTGTATTTGCGGAGCTTCCACTCCCCAGTCTTCACCTTTTCTCTTGCCGCCTCCATCTCTCTGCAGACTGTAGTGATCATAGACATGGCCGGTTCGTGAACGGATCGTTCTTTTGAACCGGTTCTTTTTAGTGAACCGGTCGAACCAGTACACTAAATCAAATCGAACTGAATCGTTCGAAACAGTTCGCGTCTTGCGTCAGTGCTGATCCACAAGTTACTAAAGTTACCCACTTTCAGACATGCCTGATAGTCGCCTACGAATCGAAATAAATCAATATCCTGAATTATATTTTACTCCACTAACTCCAACAGTTCACTGAACCGAGACACGAGCAGAGCAGCTGCAGACTGATCTCATGAAGTAGCGTGTGTATGACACGCCAATTCGTATTTCCATTTTTGGCGTGCTATCAAGACGCATAATCGCCTTTCAGCGCGTTTATGAACGCCATTGACTTAACGTTATATAAATATATGACTTACCTCAACCCCGTCCCTAAACCTAACCGTCACTGGGGTTAATGGCATTTATGACTGGAGATTTGACTGCGTGTAAAGAGACGCGGAATGACGCGGGCGTTAATGGCGTAGACATATACGCATACACGCGGATAGCTCAAAATGTGTAGAGATAACACGCCACCTGACTCGAAAGTGGCGTATATGTTTACGCAAAAGTCATGATGTCATGTTGGCAGCTGATACTGCGTAATGCACAGGGACAGCGGTTCTCGAATCATAGAACCGAGAACTGTTTAGACTGAGCTTGTGTGTTATCTTCGTGCCAGTTATTCAGCCAATAATGTGTAGGGCTGTATATTTCATCAAAATTGTGTCTAGTACTATATTAATACAAATGTTTAATTGGCTCTCTTATTTCAAACGACCCGACCGACCGCGACGCGAATATCATTAAAAACATTTTTGGATGACCCGTAACTGCGGGTAACCGCTGGTGACCGCAGGCACCCGCTCATTTCGGATCAACCCGTGCATCACTGATATATATATATACAGTATACTGTATATATATATATATATACTGTATATATATATCTATATGTATGGGGCAGAAGGCGCCTCCTAGTGGTCTAACCCTAACCCTACCCCAGTCCTAAACCTACACATAACCGAAGTGTGTTATATTGACGCTAAAGGGTGCCATTTGCGTGTGATTTAGGCATTTAGACAAAATGTCAAAAGCGCGTGGCTATATGACGCCCTAGGATGAGAATGCATTGGTTATTGTGGATATATACACAGTTTTTTGTGTTTACATGAAATCATGATTTTTATGAGACATTTATCTCCGGTACAGGTGTCGATCAAAGAGCAGAGGATAAAAGTCCTGATTGAAGACGGTGTGTTTCAATGAAGGATTGTGTGATGTGTTTCATATGCAGATGTTGTCAGCTGTTATTCATTCAGTGGCTTTAGTATTTGCCAGGTTTATTTGTCGAGATAATGAGCGTGTATGTGTGTGTCAAGAACATGTTTGGCGAATTTAGTAATTTATGCAAAACATAATTATAAAATATAATTTATTTTCTTTTTATTTATGGGTGAAATGTGACCTTGACTTGTTTTTGTGAGATTCACACGTTAGTTTGAGTGGGTTTGTGTGTGTTGCCATGTTTTTGGCTAGGTTTGCATCATGCACACATATGTTAATCCTGTGTGTGTGTTTCCAGAGCTGCCGGAGAACTGGACGGACACGCGGGAGACGCTGCTGGAGGGGATGGTGTTTCAGCTGAAGTATCTGGGCATGACACTGGTGGAGGAACCCAAAGGAGAAGAGCTCTCGGCCGCTGCTGTCAAGAGGATCGTTGCCACAGTAAGACACGCACGTCACACTGAACAACAAAACTGGTGTAGAAACAATTTTCACTCACAATTGCTAGTGAATTTCACAAACAATTACAATGAAAAAGAAAGCAACACATTGAGTTAAATGTGAAATTTGGAAGAAAAAAAAAACCCTGAAATAGTTCTGTTCTCAAATCTTTCCCTGTCAGTGCTTTAAATTAAAAAAATAAATAAATAAAGTTGCCAGCCAGCAGCAGCATTTTTGATAATTTTCTCAAAATTTTGAATGGCCCCTGCAATATTTTATTGTAGTATGAATATCTGAACATGCAATATTTCAAGAGAAAGAACAGAGCCTCTGCTTTTTATTCAAGCTTCATGTATTCTTTTTTTATCAACCCTTGCATGTGGGTGAGTTTCATTAAAAAAAAGCAACATTTTGAGCAAAAAGCTCAAAAGACTGTCCGAATTGGATTCCGGATTGACTTGCACATGGTTTGTCTTAAAGCATATTAAAAACACCACATAGACATATAAACGTCATAAAAATCTTGATTTTTCACCTTGGAGGACTTTAATGTACAGTATAAAGGTTTATATGAAGAACCTTTTGTTCAGTGGATGTTAAAGGTTCTCCATGAAACCATCAATGCATATAAACCTTTATTTCCAAGTGTAAGTGAACTTCAGGGAAAATAGCCACAAAAGTGTAGAATTTGATGCTTTTAAGCTCTAATTTGTTTCTAATGGTTTGTGAGTGGTGCTACTGTGTGTGTGTGTGTGTCTCAGGGGGTTTCTGGGTGTGGTTCTGTGCATTTGAACAGGCTGGATCCTGTCATGATGTAAGGTTGTTTTGAGGTTTTTAAACGCTTCAGATTGTTGTGAATCAACATTAAAAAGCTGTTGCATACCAAACTGACTATGTCAGTGAGTGTGTGTGTGTGTGTGTACTTGATATCTCTGACTTCTGACTATAAGATGATATGTAAGAAAACAACATTTGAGGGTGTTATAGTAGTTCATAAATTATGCTGGAAACCACATAATGTAAAAACAAAAAATGTCTAAATCCATGGCAATACTAAATAGAATAAAACATTTTGTAATTGAAAATTGTATTCAGAGGCTGTTCGAAAGAAGAGAAAGTAAACTTGGGCAAGAACTAATAATAAAATAATGTTAATCTGTTAAAGGGGTAAACTATGGAATAATCGTGATAAGGAATTAAAATTGTGTACTTCAGTCTGTAAATTCAAGAAAATGTATAAAAACACAATATGAATAATTTGTGTATGTCATATTTTAACTGATATCTGATATGTGTATATGTCGTTTATTTTGTATGAATCAAATGAGATAAAAGTTATGAGATAATTGAGACTACACCTTTTTATTTATTATGTATATTTTTTTTCTTTACTATGGAAAATTATCTGTGAGGAGGACCGAAATACATGTTTTCAATTGAATTTCAGTTTATTTCAGGAAACATATCTAATAGCTAACTAAAGTTTTTTTTATCTAATATTTATATTCTAAATATATAGTTCACTGTTAGTCCATGTTAGTTAATACATTAACAAATTATGAGACCTTATTGTAAAGTGTTACTGTTTTTAACAACACAGCTTGAAAGTGTGCTGCTCATTGCACAAGATGCTGAGGAAAAAACACACAAAGCCTCCAAAATCAGCTCTGATGGATTCAAATCATTTGACAGCTGCTTGATAAAGCCAAGTTTTCTGTCTCTTTCTCTCTCAGGCTAAAGCTGGTTGGAAGAAGCTTCAGAAGGTGACGCTAAAGGTTTCTCCTCGAGGGATTATTCTCTACGACAGAGCAAACCAGATGATAGAGAATGTGTCCATATACAGGTGAGTGACTCTGTCTGAGATGGAAATCCTGATGTCATTTTGTTCTTGTTTTATACCTTTTATTATTCAAGGACCCAAAAATATACTAAACCAACATTTTTTATTGGTTAAAATGATTTTATTATATTCTTAATATTTACATATGTGATTCAATAGAGGTGTACAAATGTCATGGAAATGATTTGGTTCTAGTATTTACTTAAAAGCAGAACTAGTTCTGAATAAGTACTGGTTTTCGATAGCCTCTTGCAATAAAAAAGAGAGGAGTGTTTGTCGCCCCCTGACATTCTGCCATCCATCATTTAGAGCAGTGCGACCTGATGATTGCTGTGTTTTCGTACAGACAGAGAGAGAGAGAGAGATCTGTATTGATCTGTTTTAGTGTGTCTGAGGCTCAGACACACACTCTCTGACCCTCACCTGGGACCGCAGCTATTGTTGGACGTTTGCACACGCTCAGTGCGCTCAGTCTGTGCTGTGTCTAATGAATAAACATGAGGGAGGCGTCGGCCTCTCTCTCCACACCAGTTACACAAGCAATACTCCAATTACAGTCGAGCTGGTGCTGGTAAATGTTAATTTTCAATATATATTTACATTTTTTCATTGTGACATTATTTTCACAACAATTAGGTTCATTTTTCCTCACATTCTCAGTCATTTAAGATAGTTAATGTAACAGTTTTGTACAATATTTTATATATATTAAGGCTGTGCAAAGATTAATTGTGATTAATTGCATCCAAAATAAATAAAATTTTGTTTTTACATAATATATTTGTGTGTTCTGTCTGCTGTGTATAATTATTTTGTATATATAAATACACATGCATAAGAAAATTATATGTTATTCATATATAAAATGTGTATATATATATATATATATATACACAGTATTTACATGCAAATAATTCTTATATATATATATATGAAGAGTTCAGATGCAAAAGCCTCTAAATGCCATTTGAAATTTTCTTCTTTAATGATGATTTTTATCAAACTTGTATATTTAAGTTCAGTAATTTCACTTAAATAACAATTAATAGGTAATTATCATTGCAATTTAAGTGAAATCACTGAACTTAAATATACAAGCTTGATAAAAATTATCATTCTAGAAGAAAATTTCAAATGGCACTTAGAGGCTTTTGCATCTGAACTCTTCATATATATATATGCATGCATATGTATGTATGAATATATACAAAATAATTATACACTGCACACACACACATATATTATGTAAACATAAACTTTTATTCTCTTAACCCTTGTGCTGCATTAGATTTTTAACACCGTTGAGTGCATTAAGGACCAAAAATGGCCACATATTAAACATTGCCTAAAATATTATATATTATTATTATTTTCCACTTTTACCAAGTTAAATCTTTTAACCAGCATCAGTCCTCATCATAACTATTAAAAATGTATTCAATATCAGGATTTTAACCCTTTAATTACCAGTTTTGTTTGCGAAACCATCGATTTGTATAAGAGGAAAAAACACAAAAATTCAATTATTTTCAATAAACTAAATGCAAAGAGAAAACTTTAGATTTGGATTATCACAGTCCCACTTTGCAAAAAATCCCACTTAGCGCGTTAGAGACCAAAAATGGCCACCTATTAAACATTGCCTATTGCCTAAAATAAGGTGCATTTCCACCCATAGGGAATAAATATGTAGTGACGTCATCTGGTGGAATACACTATATAATGCAAATATAATGCTTTTGCTTCAAAATGAAAGGATGTTTGTGCAAAAATCATGTTTCATGTATTACTGACAGCCTCAGATTTAAACAACGTTTTAATGGGTTTCAATGGGCCATTTTTGGTCTTTATGGTGCTGAGTGTTACTATTTGATCTACACAGTGTGTGTTATACATATTTTGCAAAATGGGATCACATTTTTTACATGTATCCAAAAAGTCACAATTTTGCCAAATTTCATACCATTTGCATTAAAACAGCCAAAATGGTCAAAGAAATTAAACTGCAAAAGACCAAAAATGTCCCTAATGCAGCATAAGGGTTAAACTTGAACTTCAGCAGATCGTCTTGACCATGTCAACATGCCTAAATGTGACGAGTTGCTGCTATGTGATTAGCTGATTAGAAATTTGCGTTCACAAGCAGTTGAATAGGTGTACTGTGTGTATATATGTATATATTTATTTTAAACGACTACAAATTATTAAGGCTTAGGGTAAAAATGCCAGCACAATAAGCAAAAATACTAAATCTATTATAGTTGTAGCAAGTGAAATGTGAAAGTGGATGACAAATATTGATTTCTAATGGATAAAAAGCAATAAACATAAATGATTGTTAGCTTTTGTCGGTGTAGCCAGAATTTGTTGTGCCATTTCCCTACACACAACGTTTTTTAATGCATTCTATTAATCAGTTAATCAATATTAACAATCATTATTACAATATGAAGAGCAAAAATCAACAATAATTGCAGCCCTACCGGTTAATGAGTTTCTGTTTTATTTATTTTTTTAATTTTATAATTGATGTACTTTATGTAAGCTGTTTAAGTAATGTAATTGTTGTGTACATACACACATGCCACCTTTGAGTCATAAATAAACATAAATTCCTTGTAAAGAAATGTCAGATGCAGCTTCTGCTTGACCTTTGCAGAGTAAACATGGCTTTTGATTTATTTGACATTAAAAGACAACACAGGTACGTTTAATAAGGTCATTTTATATATATATATATATGTATATATATAAAATTCTTACATGGGTAAAAAAAATCAGAAAAACTAAACTGGAAATCGATTCCAGGGTGCAAATAATGTCCCTTTATAGAAAATGTAATTCTGACCCTGAAATGTTTTATTTTATTTTTTTATTAGCATAAACTACTGGTCCTAGTCAGACAGAAGTGTGTGTGTGAGAGTCGGAGAAAGTTTTTGAATGTGTGTACATTTTTAAACCGGACAGATGGTGGTCATCCATCATTAGTCCCGCCCCTCCTGCTGTGGGTCTGCCCTCTGATAGGCTGAGCCAGCTGTCACTCAAGGCTGTGTGGAGAAATCAACACTAGAGGAGTTCATGAGTTTACTGAGAGATCTCAACAGGAAACCAGAGACCATGCAGTCATAGTCAAACTATCCCACGTGTGTGTGTGTGTGTGTGGGTGCGTGTTATGGTTTGGTGTGTCAGCTTTCTGTCAAAGTGCTGATGGAGCGTTGAACATAGAAAACACAACACTGCTTGTAGACGTTTCCACATCTCAGAGGAGGTGACATCATGCTCTATTATATAAGGGTGTGTGTGTAAGGATGATGCACACAGTGGGTGTGTTATACTGGATAATGATCAATCTGTGGCCATCTGGATTTCCCTAGTAGATAAACAGAAATCACTGACCAAATGACAGTAAATATGTGTTGATCATGTGAGCGGGTTCATATCCAGATCTTGCTTTAGTTGATCATACTGGAGAACGTGATCATCAGGTTTCCAAAATACCTAATAACTGTAATCATTATGCTGTTATTCAAAACTTGCGTTTACACTAGTGTTCTCTGATATTTCAAGCCGACTTTATATGTACACACAAGTTTGGGGTCGGTAAGATTTTTGGATGTTTTTGAAAGCCTCATCAAGGCTGCATTTATTTGATCAAAAATACAGTTATATTATTATAATTTAAAGTAACTGTTTTCTCTTTGAATATTCTATTTACTTTTAAGATTCTATTTTTTTTTTAATTTGAATATATTCTAAAATGTAATTTTTTCCTGTGATCAAAGCTGTATTTTCAACATCATGACTTCAGTCTACGGTGTCGCATAATCCTTCAGAAATTATTCTAATATGATGATTTGATACTCAAGAAATATTTCTGATTATTATCAATGTTGGAAACAGTTGTGCTGCTTAAAAATTATTTTAATTATTTTATTATTAATTATAAAAACAGCACATTTATTTATTTACTGGCAACCTGTCAAAATAAAAGCTTGATGGAATAGTGTTTGATGATAAATAAATTAAGATATAAATATTAGTATTGTAATTTTATAATGAAATAAATTATAATGTAAAAATTATTATGTATAAAATAAATTATAATGTATAAATTATTAATGAATTATAATGAAATAAATTAAATTATATAATGTAGTAAATTACTGTACTTTAGTATATTTAATAGTAATCATATATATATATATATATATATATATATATATATATATATACTGTATACTGTATATACTGTATATATGAAGAGTTCAGATGCAAAAGCCTCTAAATGCCATTTGAAATTTTCTTCTTTAATGATGATTTTTATCAAACTTGTATATTTAAGTTCAGTAATTTCACTTAAATAACAATTAATAGGTAATTATCATTGCCATTTAAGTGAAATCACTGAACTTAAATATACAAGCTTGATAAAAATTATCATTCTAGAAGAAAATTTCAAATGGCACTTAGAGGCTTTTGCATCTGAACTCTTCATGTATATATATATATATATATATATATGTGTATATATATAGTTCTAATTATATATATATATATATATATATATATAGTTTTTAATCAATTTAATGCATCTTTGCTCTATAAAAGTATTATTTTCTTAAACTTTTGGATGGTAGTGTGAGAAGGAATATAGAGTCATTTTTATTTTTCACACAGGTTATCTTTAGATTGACTGCTTATTTGTTGTCTGTAGGATTTCGTACTGCACAGCGGATAAGATGCACGATAAAGTGTTCGCCTACATCGCTCAGAGTCAAGGCAACGAAACACTGGAGTGTCACGCGTACCTCTGCACCAAGAGGAAAGTGGTGAGTGTGTGTTCATATGTTCGTGTGTCAGAGACACTCCCTGTCTTTCCTTCTGTCTATAAATAGTTATACGGTTAAGACCACACTTCCTCTGACAGAGAAACAGAGCAATGTGCTTTTTTTTCTCCCCATGACAAGAGATGTGGCGTTAAAAGCTCTCTTCCCTATTCCCCGTCTGTCTCAGGCTCAGGCGGTGACGTTAACGGTGGCTCAGGCTTTCCGATTGGCATTCGAGTTTTGGCAGGCTGCTAAAGGAGGTATGATGCACTCGACAACTTCAGTCATCCCAGCACAACTCTTGTTTGTCTTGCTGATTCTTGTGAATTATGGGCTGTGATTGGAGCTCAAAAGCATGTGTGTCCTACTTGAAGCTGAAGTGTGTGATTTCCACACTCTTAGCTCACCAAAAATAATGGCTGTTTTCAAATGGTTTTCTTCACCTGCTATTAGTCGTAGAAAAAAGATCGCTCCACCCCAAACTCATGCTATTGGTTAATGTTGCTGTGTCGGACTGATTGACAGTCATCTTTTTATCCTTCCTTTGACTTCCTGAATGTTGAAAACACATTATTTTTCACATATTTTGCAGCTGCTCACTTCTCAGTCTAATAATAATAATAAACAGAAATAGTTTGGGGCAGGGAGTGCTTGAGAAACCTGTTTGAAAACAATTTTATTATTATTATTATTATTCCCAGTCTGTGTGTAACGTTCAGTTTAGTTCCTGTCTCTATGAAGCCCCTCCTTCTGAAAAGCTCAATGTGTTTTGATTGGTCAGCTTAAATGGGGGATATTGTGACGTTTCCGTTAGAAAAAATTAGACTTCAATGGAGGCGTTTCAGGGAGTTTAGAAACACTGACACTGTAATAGAGAGGGACTGGAGGGACTTTGTGTTTTGCAGACATTTTTCTAGCTAAAACAGCAAAAAAAAAAAAAAAAAACAGAGTAAAAAAAGCCTTATAGGTCCTCTTTAAGAAATATTTTAATAGCACAAGTAAAAGTTAATAGGTTTAATTAATTTCCATGCATCAACTTTTCATGCATTGCAACTTAAACCAGGGACACATAAAGACTGTGAAATGTGTTACGACTGATCATGGAGTCAGAGACCGTGGCGTTCAGTCGTTGGAAACAGTGTGTAAGTATTTTCAGTTCAGTATAAGAATGTTTTTCAAGTGTGTCCCTGCTTTAATTGCAAATATTTAAAAAATATTAAATATTTTTATAGAATATAAAATATTTAATATTTTTGCAGAACATGTATGCAATATGAAATATTTTTGAAATATTTCCCTGCTTTTAAATGTGTCCTTGCTTTAATTGTAATTGCAAATATGAAAAAATATTTTAAAAAAATTAAATCAGCAGGAAAATGTTTGAAAAACATGCATTTTTTATTTTTAACTAGATTTTTACTATTTAATTCTTGCGTCATATATTTAAAAAAAAGACCTTTTAAAGTAGTTTCAGAGCAATATTGCCTCTGCCCCGTGAGTGTGTTCATTTATTTATTTATATATATATATATATATATATATATATATGAAGAGTTCAGATGCAAAAGCCTCTAAGTGCCATTTGAAATTTTCTTCTTTAATGATGATTATCAATCTTGTATATTTAAGTTCAGTTATTTCACTTAAATGGCAATGATAATTACCTATTAATTGTTATTTAAGTGAAATTACTGAACTTAAATATACAAGTTTGATAAAAATCATCATTCAAGAAGAAAATTTTAAATGGCTTTTAGAGGCTTTTGCATCTGAACTCTTCATATATATATATATATATATATAATTTTTTTTTATTTTAAGGAACTGTATATTTCTGTGTATGTATTTATTTCCCTCAGGGATGGAGGACAAGAAAGAGATTTTAGTGCAGGGAAAGTAGAGCAGCTCCTGTCGTACAGATCAGCAGAACATGTATGCAATTTACTGCATGTTTGAACATGCCTGTGTGTGTGTGTGTATCCTGAGGCCTGTTGAGATTTATTCATTTAATCTCTCTGCACCTGATGGTTCGATCTCAGATCTCTTCCTCCGTCTCAATGCGTTTTACCGCAGGGCCTAAAATATAAACAGATGACACACACATTTCCTTAGTGAATCTTTATGGTCCTGGGAAGGGTGGTGCCAGTGCATCATGGGTGTGTTTAATTTTTAATTCAGAAGTGATGCCTGAGATGAGAGAAATGAGTATTTATCAGTTTAGTTACACATGTAAATCTAAAGATTTTAAGCTGAAATATGGATGTAAATTGGCCATTGCGGTTCACTACTTTCGGAGGTTCAGATTCAGAACGCCTGTATTGTGATGGTGTGTCACTGTGTAAACCACACAGAGAAGCACCAAGCCTGCAGGAAGAAGATCTGTGAACATGACTTCCCCTTTTAGAGCTCTACTATAGGTGTATACAGTTCCTCATGAAGAGCTTTGATAGAGATTCAGGATGTCTGATTTCCATTTCATTAATTCAGGCAGTGATCGAGTCCACCGCACAGTTTAGTGCTATGTGTTCATTATTTAAATGTACATGTAGGGCTGGTTTCTCATGGACCTGATGCACATTTATACTCACTGACCTCATTCTTTTTTAACTTTTATTATACCATGGTCTGGTTAAATACTCGATTCTGATTGGCTGCAGGGTGTCCGTTAAAAAGTGATAGAGGACACCTAGTAAAGTAGTTCTGGTGAAACTGCCTATTTACCATTCGAAATGTCTAAATAAATGCGCTGCCTACAACAGCTGTGAGTAACCATAGCAACAGGCAGTCAAACGCTCTATCAAAACAAACATTTAACGTTAGATAGCCTAATACAGCAATGAGCGACTTCGTTATTTCTTTTAACATTTATGGAGAATATGGCAACTTTGACGACTGGTATGCTGTAGGTCGACTCTCCGATGCTGGACTGGAGAGCCGTCAAATAATGTCGGTGACAGGCCATCGATGCGAGAGCAGTCTGCGGGCTTACTGGGCTCCGTCTCTCCGTGAGAGACGAAGCTGGAGCAACGTACTGTCTGCATCAAGTGCCCATCATGGGCAGCAGTAACGTTAGCCAGCTTTTGTGGATCCTCCTGACTGGACGACTTTTTCAAATTGCACTATAAATGGAAAAGTTGAAATTAATTGTAAATAAAAAAGCTAGCAATAGCATGTAGGCAAATGACCCTCTCTTTGATCTGATTAATTTATTGCCCTCTATAAGCGCAAATCGCTGGTGCTCAGAACTAATTGTTTTTTGTTTTTTTGTGTGGTTTTTTTACATTTTTGTTTGATTAATTGTTTTATGTGTAATAAAAAAATAACTATGCCTACCTTTGTGTTTCATGAAAAAAAAAATGCATTTTTGAACCTAAGGGTTCTACAAGCTGAGCGGACTATAAATATCTCCGGTTGCTAAATAAACCGTCAGGCAAGTTATTATTTGTAAAAATTAGATTTAGCCTAATTAAAATATAAACTAATGTTTTATAAATGTTTTATTTGGCAAGTGACCATGGTATAAGCGGGTTAATGCCCGACGAGGTGTCCATTGTCAGGTTTTAATGGACAACGGCGAGGCGTAAACCGGCCGATGCGCAGCGGAGGACGGTTGCCTCCGCCGAAGTCCATTAAAACCTGACAATGGACACCTCGGAGGGCATTAACCCGCTCGGAGGGCATTAACCCTTACGTAATACATATTTAACAAACATTTAAATATGGATATATATGAAAGCATATGAATCAAAGTTTTAAGATAAAAATTATGTAAAATTATTTATTTATGTTAGTTATTTAGTGAATTTTTAAAGGGGTGGTATAATGCCCTTTTCACAAGATGTAAAATATATCTCTGATGCCCCTAGAGTGTGTGTGTGTGTGAAGTTTTAGCTCAAAATTCCCCACAGATATTTTTATATAGCATGTTAAAGTTGTCACTTTTTGAGGGTGAGCAAAAACGCCTCGTTTTGTGTGTGTCCCTTTAAATGCAAATGAGCTGACACAGTGGGCGGAGCTTCAAGAGCTTGTGTCCTTTTACCTCACACACACATGCACTGCAAATTTCAAAAACTTTTATGTTCGAACCGGAGTCAGACAATGATGAGAGACTCAAGAAGAAGTGATAGCATGTCGAAAGCAACAGGACATTTTTAAATGAATTTATGTAGCTTATGTGTAGTTATCTTCTAGTCATTGATTACTATATTCTGTCTTGATAATCTATTAAATTGTGTTCCGGGGACTGGTTTATGTAAATGAAGGTTAGTGATGTCATTAACCCGGGAGGAAGCTTGTGTAGTCCCAACCAGCTGTTTGTTGTAGTCCTTAAAAAACTGTTTCTTTAAAAGCAAATATCTCCCTTTGCTTTGAACTCTGAGCGCTGTAACTTTGCAGAGGTTGTTTATGCCCAAACAGCAACATTACACACTAACTAAAGTTAGAAAAGTGAAATCATAATCAACCACCCCTTTAAATCATGAATATTATTTCTTGGGGGATGTATTTGTTTATTTATGCATTTATTTATTTATTGCATGTGGCATTTGACCAACCTCATCTAACTGTGTCATGTCATAAATAGTTGAAATTATCAGATGATAAACAAAAAGAGTGACGAAAAAGGCCATTTAGAATTTCTCAGATCAAATAAAGAAGTGAATGTTTAATGTAAGTATGTTAACAATAACACAAGCTTGAAATTTCTGCTTCGTTTTCAGAGAAAGAGAAGCAGGTGAAATGTGGATCTGATGGAGAGGCGGCCAGCAGCTCTCAGTGCGAGGGAAGCACGAAAGAAGGAGGTGAACACACACACACACACACTCTTTCCTAATCAGGCATTAAATGCGTCAATCAGCAGGGCAATTTGTCTCTAATTTCTGCTCAATTTTTATGGTGTTGTGCTCTGTAGCTCCGCCCACTGTAGAATCTCATTGGTTTAAAATCCCACTCTATGTAACGTTGTTAAATATCAATTGTGTTCTTATTGGCTCTGATTGTGTTGTGTCACACGGTATTCTCACTTTCAGTGTGAAGAGACAAATAGTTATCACTGGAAACATGATGATAATACCATAGTATATTTGCATGAAAATGGGTCGTAGTCTGGAGCCCTGAAAATATAATAATATCTCACAATTAGAGCCAGACCGATATATCGGCCGGCCGTTATTAGGGATTTTTCAAACTATCGGTATCGGCAGTTATAATGGCCGATAAATGAATATTTCAAAAATAAAATAAAAACGGACGAAACACGCTTCAATCATCATCTCTCCTTGGCATGTTATATTGAAAATGTATGTTTTAAAATTTGCAGTATGACGTTATCTATTGCTAAATTATGACTCATCATAGACTAGACTAGCTAATAAGCAAGCTGACATTGTAATTATAAGGTAGTTTATAAGGCAATGTAGGGAATAATTATTATTTTATTTATCAGAACTTTAATATATTTTGATGTTCCTCTGTTCTGTTGTGACAATAAAAGAAACAAGTTTATTTTTTAAAATGCTTTATCATACTATTTTAGTTAAAACTCATAAATAACTACAAATAACTATGTTAGGGAAATCTGTTAATGTTTTGTTGTGCGTTTCTGAAAAGAATAAAAATAAATAAAATATCGGCGGATATACCGGAATATCGGATTTTAAAACCCAAAAATATTTGTATCGGTATCGGTCTTTAAAATCCTTTATTGGTCGGGCTCTACTCACAATATTACAGTTTTTACTTTATTCTTTTATCAAATAAATGCAGCTTTGGTGAGCAGAAAAGACTTTTGAGTGGTAGTGTATTATCTGTGATCAGATATGGATAGCTATTCCAATTCTAGATGCATACACTGTTATACCCCCTGTGTACTCATCTGACACCATCACTGGACCATGGCACTTTTTAGTAAGGGTGCCAGAGGACCCCGGATGGTTGCCAGGTTACAGAAATAATCTTGGACTTGAACCCTTGAGGACCAGTGATCCGTGTGCCATGAGACAGACGTGTGTGTGCATGAATAAAGGGGACTGTGTGTTCGTAAATCCCATCAGATATCAGAAACATGATTCTTTTAGCCTACACTCACACACACACACACAGCGGCTGATCTCTACTCATTAAATGTGAGACCAGGACAGAGATGGCTCAGGATAGGGAGCTGATGTGCTTTTGTTGGACTGTGTCTGTGAAGCGTGTCATGGCTTGATGTTGATTCTTCATTCTCTACATGCACAGATCTGTATGATCCCTGCAGGTGTGGAGATGAGAAACTATACCATTCAAAGGGTGATTTATAACCATTGTGTCTGATCACCTCGTGTTGCTCCAGGAGGTCTGAGCCTCTATTAAGTGTAATTAAATTAATTCATAAATCTGCCAAGTTATATAGTTCATTAGCCTAACTGGAGGCTGGTTATGATTGCCAAGAAACAGAGTAATTTGTCAACAGCTTCAATCAAAATTAGGAACCCCGTCCTTCCGTCCATCCGTCCGTCCATCCATCCCTTCAGCCGTCCATCCATCCATCCATCCATCTGTCTTTCCCTCCATCGATCCAGCTGTCCATCCATCCATGCATCTGTCCCTCCATTTATCCATCCATGTGTCCATCCCTCCATCTATCCATCCATCCGTCCATCAGTTCATCTATCCGTCCGTCCCTCCATCCATTCGTCCGTCCCTCCATGTGTCCGTCCCTCCATCTATCCATCCGTCCGTCCGTCCGTCCATCCATTCATCTGTCAGTCCATCCATCCAGCCATCCGTCCATTCATCTGATCACCCATCTGTCAGTTCATCCATCTGTCTGTCCATCCATCTATCTATCCGTCCGTCCGTCTATTCCGTCCGTCTGTTCATCCATCCGTCCATCAGTTCATCCGTCCTTCCATTCCGCCCGTCCGTCCATCCGTCTGTCTTTCCCTCCATCGATCCAGCTGTCCGTCCATCCATCCATCCGTCCCTCCATTTATCCATCCATGTGTCCATCCCTCCATCTATCCATCCATCCGTCCGTCCATTCCACTGTCCGTCCATCCATCCATCCATCCGTCCATCAGTTCATCTATCCGTCCGTCCCTCCATCCATCCCTCCATTTATCCATCCATGTGTCCGTCCATTCCACCGTCCATCCATCCATTCATCTGTCCGTCCATCCATCCAGCCATCCGTCCATTCCGCTCGTCCGTTCATCCATCCGTCCATCCATCCGTCCTTCCATCTGATCATCCATCTGTCTGTCCATCCATCCGTCTGTCTATTCCGTCCGTCTGTTCATCCGTCCATCAGTTCATCCATCCGTTCATCCGTCTGTCCGTCCATTCCGCCTGTCCGTCCGTCCCTCCATCCATCCGTCCATCTGTCTTTCCCTCCATCGATCCAGCTGTCCGTCCATCCATCCATCCGTCCCTCCATTTATCCATCCATGTGTCCATCCCTCCATCTATCCATCCATCCGTCCGTCCATTCCACTGTCCGTCCATCCTTCCGTCCATCAGTTCATCTATCCGTCCGTCCCTCCATTTATCCATCCATCCGTGCGTCCATTCCACCGTCCATCCATCCGTCCGTCCGTCTGTCCATCTGATCATCCATCTGTCAGTTCATCCATTTATCCATCCGTCCGTCCGTCTGTTCATCCGTCCATCCATCCGTACATCAGTTCATCCATCCGTTCATCCGCCCGTCCGTCCATCCATCCGTCCGTCCATCCGTCCATCATAGTGTACATAGTAATGGCAGCTGAAATATCAGCTTTGCATCACAGGAATAAATTAGATTTAAAAAATATATTTAAGGTTTTAAATCGTAATGATATTTCACAATATTTTGATCAAATACATTTATATATTGCATTTATTTATTTGTATATTTTTACTTATTTAGTTTTATTTTTCTATTTATTTTGTCATTATCATTTCTATTGTGTGTGTGTAGAAGTGGCCACTGGGGATCTACTGGACTTTGAATGTGGAGTAAAAGATCACTCAGGAAAAGATGACGCACACCCTGTACCGAACCTCAGCACAGAGAACAACAACACTGTATGGGTAAGAACAAACAAACACACACACACACACACACACACACAATCATCTGAATATATCATACATCTGCTAGTGTGACGCTGTGCGGAGAAACAGAGCTGAGGCTGGGTCCAAACGCAGTGTAGCTTTATTAAACAAACTTAAAACAAGACACTAGAAGCAAGAATCGTGAAAGCACCAACGTAACACACATAAATTCAACAACCAACAAAGACAGGGCAGAAACACAGGGCTTAAATAATCAATGACAAACGAGCTAGACAAGATAACAAGGGGGCGTGAGAAATGAGAAACACCTGGCATAAATAATAGACGGGCAATAACTAATAACAAAAACACACAAAATCACTTCGTGACATAGCCTCCCCCCTATGGGCGGCTCCCGACGCCCATACAAACATCAAAAAGTTCAGGAGGGCGGTGAAGCGGAGACAGTCTTGGGGGAGGGACGGAGGGCCAGGCCCGTGCAGGGGAACAGGACCAGGAGGTAGCCAAGGCGGGCCTGGGCCGCAGAGCATGGGCCTACCAGACTGGGCTGGAGACCAAGGCGGAGCAGGAGGAGGCGGAGGCCAGGGCGGAGCAGGACGAGGCAGAGGCCAGGGAGGAGCAGGACGTGAAGGCGGCCAGGGCGGAGCAGGCTCAGGCAGAGACGAGGGCGAAGCAGACTCAGGTGCGGTCCATGTCAGTGCCGCCTCCATGGCCCCCACAGAGTACCTACTGCCCCCCCCCCCAAAAAATACTTGGGGAAATTCACGGGAGGAACCTCTGGGTGGTGAACGGGTACAGGAAAGGCCTCCCGGAGCTTGAAGGGTGCAGGCAGAGCGAGGCGCAGAGGCGGGGCCGGCAGAGCGAGGCGCAGAGGCGGGGCCGGCAGGGCGAGGCGCAGAGGCGGGGCCGGCAGGGCGAGGAGTCTGGGCACGCTCACCGGGGCCTGGCGAACCAAACGAGTCCTCCTTCTCCTCCTCCTGCGGCGGCGCGTCACAGGGCTAGACACACTCGCTGGGCTGGACAACTCACTCACTTGAACTGGAGATGCAGCGCTCACTTGAAGAGGAGATGCAGCGCTCACTTGAAGAGGAGATGCAGCGCTCACTTGAAGAGGAGATGCAGCGCTCACTTGAAGAGGAGATGCAGCGCTCACTTGAAGAGGAGATGCAGCGCTCACTTGAAGAGGAGATTCAGCCACTTGAACAGGATCACTCACTTGAACTGAAGATTCACTCACTTGAACCGGAGACTCATCCACTTGAACTGGAGATTCATCCACTTGAACTGGAGATTCATCCACTTGAACTGGAGATTCATCCACTTGAACTGGAGATTCATCCACTTGAACAGGAGATTCATCCACTTGAACAGGAGATTCATCCACTTGAAGAGGAGATTCAGCGCTCACTTGAAGAGGAGATTCAGCCACTTGAACAGGATCACTCACTTGAACTGAAGATTCACTCACTTGAACCGGAGACTCATCCACTTGAACTGGAGATTCATCCACTTGAACTGGAGATTCATCCACTTGAACTGGAGATTCATCCACTTGAACTGGAGATTCATCCACTTGAACAGGAGATTCATCCACTTGAACAGGAGATTCATCCACTTGAACAGGAGATTCATCCACTTGAACAGGAGATTCATCCACTTGAACTGGAGATTCATCCACTTGAACTGGAGATTCATCCACTTGAACAGGAGATTCATCCACTTGAACAGGAGATTCATCCACTTGAACAGGATCACTCACTTGAACTGAAGATTCACTCACTTGAACCGGAGACTCATCCACTTGAACTGGAGATTCATCCACTTGAACCGGAGATTCCCTCGCGGGGCTCACGTGAATCGCGAGTTCGGCTGGGCTGACGTGAAGCGCGGGCTCGGCTGGGCTGACGTGAGTCGCGGGCTCGTCAATGCGCACGTGAAGCGCGGGCTCGTCGTGACTGACGTGAACCAGCGGTGAAGACGACGAGGGCTTCGCGGGTAAAGTACACTCGGCAGGTGTCGAGTAGAATAAGCGCGCAGTAGTGAAGAGGTCCTGCAAGGAACAAGCCCGAGCGACATACCCGTCAAGAGTCCAGTTGGCAAGGTCCCGCGGCATCCATCGAGCGATCTCATAATCCAGCCCATTCAGAAACAGGCCCATGAGCTGGATATCATCTAGCGCTCCCACACTGCTAATGGACAGGAACTCCTTCGCGTACCTTTGGACAGACCGGCCCTCTTGCAAGACTGACGACAGGTATTCTGTCATAGCCCGGTTGCTGACGACTGCTGGACCCATTTTGAGGTTGGTTGTTCTGTGACGCTGTGCGGAGAAACAGAGCTGAGGCTGGGTCCAAACGCAGTGTAGCTTTATTAAACAAACTTAAAACAAGACACTAGAAGCAAGAATCGTGAAAGCACCAACGTAACACACATAAATTCAACAACCAACAAAGACAGGGCAGAAACACAGGGCTTAAATAATCAATGACAAACGAGCTAGACAAGATAACAAGGGGGCGTGAGAAATGAGAAACACCTGGCATAAATAATAGACGGGCAATAACTAATAACAAAAACACACAAAATCACTTCGTGACAGCTAGATTATCCAAAAGCATAGGTACTTCACAAACTGACTTGAATAATTCATTAATAATAATAATTAGACTGAATTAATCTCTGTCTTTTGCAGGAACTTGAGGATGGTCTAGATGAGGCTTTCTCAAGGTTAGTAAAATTATATCTAAAATAATCTCTCAATGTAACTGATATACCAAACTGCACTTTTACTCCATAACACCCTACACAGTGAATTTTAATGGAGCTTAATGTAACTTTAGCACAGATGTGGAGTATAGGGCACAACTATTCCTGGCGCTCTATTATGTGACCACCGCGGTATTTATGATGGACATGTTCAGCTCTGAGAATAAACTCTTTTTAGTTGGCCTTACATAATCCTGAATATTTTACATTTCATAGAAAAAAAAAAGACATCTTGAGTCGACACAGAGGCGCAAAAATCTGTGTAACAAGTTCTCAATCGATTTTCACTGGTTGACGCCTCAATGCTTCTCCTGGAAAGCAGAATGCCACAGTTAAATGCTTGAGTTTCAGAAAATCCATGTTTGAAATGTTCTTTTTAATTAATAACGTTGCTTTGCTGAGCTTATGCATTAGAAGCAAATAAGTACTGTATCAAAATTTCAATCTTTTTTTATGGACATGAGGACAATACAGAATGAACATTGCGCCCTCTGCCAAATTCAATGTTTGTATCAAATCTGATATTTGGGGATGATAATCAGTCTCTAATGAAATCCAAAGTTTATAGTTTTTTTGCCTATCAATCTTTTTTATGGATGCTTGAACACGTGACATAATACAGAACAAGCTATCATACTGCATCCTCTGCCCCATTTGGGGTGGCCTTTCTCCGCCATGTTAAGGGTGGAATTAAATATAACAATAGGAGATGATACACAGTCCAACACACTATACAAAAATCTAAATCTTAAACACTTTTAACTTTATATGTCTTTTTTATGGACCCTTGAACTTTGCATATGGCATAAAACCGAATGAGCCACATTGCATCGTCTGCCAAGTTCAGGGTGGTGTATCTCAGCCATGTTAAGAGCTGTGTTAAATTTGATAATGGCGAATGGTACACAATCTAAACCTTTAACAAAATTAAAAAATGTAACCGTTTATACCCAACCAGCCTTTCTTTATGGAGCTATGAATTTGACACATGCTTTGATATTGCGACATAATACAAGTCATTTACTTCTAACTCTAAGCTCAGACGTAAGATTGTATTTTACAACTGGAAAATTACAAACTTCAACATTAATTTTAAAAAATATTATGGAAAATAGGATCCCTCATAATATGAGCCCTTCAGGCGAATATGATTTTTATTGGGATAATGGGCAAGTTTCTGCTTGCCTATACACACAAACCATACATACAGTTGTGATGCTAAATGATTAGGTCATGTTTTGAATGACTATTATTTGCATACTTTGGCATCGTAATGACACTAATTAACAGTCATTTTATTCTGTAAACCAAACAACAGCTGTTTAACGATTTGTAATGATGGTCATTATTCATCCAGACACAGAGTGCCGTTCCCGAGAGATCAGCCGACATGAGATGAGCTGTTTTACAGCAGCGAGGGTTCAGTCCATCGCCGCTCTGCGCTGATTATTTGTCGTGTGCAGTAATTAAAAGCGGTGGCTTTTAATCAAACTCAGTACTTCGTTAATCTCCATTTAACATGCTTTCACCCTGTAAGTGTGAGGAGAGACGCTGTAGATCTCTGACATGCGAGAACTTTTCCAATCAAGGATGAATTGAGGATTGAGTAAATCTCTGATTAAAGACTATTGAAGTGCTCTCCATCAAAACCCAAAGCTGTTTTAGCATTTTCTGATGGTTTATCATCCAAACAACAGTCATTTATGTACATCACTGTATGCTTGATGCAAAAATAAAAATTGGCCAATAGAAGATCTAAATGTCAGCTTGACCTCTTGGCCCAATATAAAGAAACAAACTTTAAAGTTGCATTATTTGCAGTGTTGAGGTTAAGTAAAATAGATAGTGCTGTGTATTTTAAGATTGTGAATATACTGTTATTTGCTATATATTTAAATTATAAAACCTTGAGTGGATAGTATTTGTTTGTTGTATCTTGATTAATTTTGCATTCCTAAAGTTCCATGATCATTCATTGTATTTTTTTTTCCGATTAGCTTTTAAATATTTCTATTTAGCAAATTTTTATTTTAGTAATTTTAGTACTTCGACTTAATTGTGTCAGTTAGTTTCTAAAGTTTTTCATCTAATATTTATATATTATTTTGCTGAATTTAAAAAATATATATATTTTAGTTAACAATAACAACACTGGTTACTCGCCAAAGTGTAATGCTTGGGAGTTTGTTCAAATCTTTAACCCTAAGTGTGAGCAATATCTGTCAAACACCACTATAATGGTTAATGTTTTTAGTTTTACACAGAAAGGGAACTTACAGTCATTTGTCTTTGTGATCGAGAGGTCAACTTCAGTTGTTTAAATCAGTTCGCTGTAACTCTGACCTCAATTCCTCAACATTTGCCCGGCAGTAACCTTTGACTTGACTGGCTGCTCAATAAACTCCATCAGGAGGTCTAGGACATTTAAAGTCAAAATGGACGATTCCTTTTTTTAATGGAATATTTATTATGAATTATTTATACATGTACATGAATATTTTTTTTAATTCATGTGCCCTCAAATAACTTGCCCTCCCTCTTGCAGCGACATCTTTTCTCTGATGATGTTTTTACTGGTGTGAGGGCGGGGCAACCTGTCACTCACATACGGACGACCTGAACCGCAACATAAAAAATACAATAAAAAAAAATCTAGCATGTCGAGATCAAATTCGAAACGGTTCAAGATCAAAGTCGAAACGTTTCGAGGTCAATCGAGATCAAAGTGGAAACGTTTCGAGATCAAATTCGAAATGTTTCAAGATCAATCGAGATCAAAGTCGAAACGTTTCGAGATCAATCGAGATCAAAGTCGAAACGTTTCGAGATCAATCGAGATCAAAGTGGAAACGTTTCGAGATCAAATTCGAAATGTTTCAAGATCAATCGAGATCAAAGTCGAAACGTTTCGAGATCAATCGAGATCAAAGTCAAAACGTTTTGAGATCAAAGTAAGACTTTAATCTCCAAATGCTAGATTTTTTTTTTATGTTGCGGTTAAGGGCTTCCGTATGTGAGTGACACATACGTCCTCAAACGTTGCGATTTTAATCTCAAAATGTTTCGACTTTAATCTCAAAATGTTTCAACTTTGTTTCGACTTTAATCTCGAAACGTTTCAACTTTGTTTCGACTTTAATCTCAAAACGTTTCAACTTTGTTTCCACTTTAATCTCGAAACGTTTTGACTTTGTTTCCACTTTAATTTTGAAACGTTTCAACTTTAATATCGAAACGTTTCGACTTTAATATCGAAACGTTTCGACTTTAATCTTGAAACGTATCGACTTTAATCTCGAAACGTTTCGACTTTATTTCGACTTTAATCTTGAAACGTTTCGACTTTATTTCGACTTTAATCTCGAAACGTTTCGACTTTATTTCGACTTTAATCTTGAAACGTTTCGACTTTAATCTCGAAATGCTAGATTTTTTTTCCGTTTTTTTTTTTGTTTTGTTTTTCCGGCTCAGGGCTTCCGTATGTGAGTGACACATACGTCCTCAGACGTTGCGACTTTAATCTCGAAAGGTTTTTTTTTTATGTTGCGGTTCACATGAGATCCACCAATAGCAAACCACAACCATGCAACTAATTTCCCACGGACAAAATCAAGTCCCGCCCCACATTTTTTTTGTCCTAGAAGCCATTTCAATTGAAAATGTGCGTCACAATAGGGAAGAAAAGACTTTCACAACTTCTGTTTCCGACTTTGAAAGTTGAATGTATTAAAATGAGGAAGTTCTATTATGTAGACGACAGCAAACCAAGACATGCTGACTAATCATGCCGCTCACATGGAGCCTCTGTTTTCTCACGCTGATGTTGTTTATTCCCCCTCAGCCGCAGTCTGGATAGTTTTGAGTCCAACACAGGTAAAAATGACATTGGCCTGCGCTGTAGTGAAATCTGCTTGTGCTGTAGTCCTCATCCGTCACAATCCACTCTTTCACATCATCCACGACCGTGAACTACAGTAGTCCAGTTCTCCCATCTGTCCCGTGTCAGGCATGTTCCTCATCACTCAAAACCCTGTCCATTTCAAACTCCTGCTCTATGGATATTGATGACTTCACGGCAGGGTTCTTTGCCAAGATTTATAGAAATATCATCTTCATGTTTTCCTTCTTCATCTTATAATCGGATGTCTTTTTCCCGCCGCTGCCTTTTCACAAAGTCTGTTACTATGGACCTCAGTCTGGGTAGACGCTGAATTTAAAGAAGTAGTTCACTCATAAATTAACTTACTCTCATTATTTATCACCTTTATGTTGTTATTTTATCAGTAGAACAACATACACTGCCGTGTTTGACTGAGTTACCGAAGTGACATTCCCACAGATGTTCCTGTTTTTTTTTGTTTGTTTGTTTTTTTCACATGAATGTTCATGAGTTCTGTCTATATTTAGGGTAGTAAAGAACAAAAAGACAACTGGCATATTTTGTGCAACATATGAAATATACTTGACCTCTGTCTAGGGATTGGAAACTTTTCTGTTTGCGATTCCAAGTCTATTTTATGATTCCAATAGTGATTCCTTGGAGAAAGCTGATGTTCTAAAAGAATAATCACTTGAAATACGTACTAACAAAACTCTGTTGTGAATGTGAATCTTTAATGTGACCTTTAAGTTTTTCATTTAATGATCTCAGCTTTATTTAAAATTTGAACGAAATCTAATATTTTTCGTTTTATAAAACCTTATTTATTATGACATGAGAGACTACAAATAGGCTAAACGCAATTTTATCTGACTCTTTAAATAACGAGGAACTCCAGATCAGGGAGAATTTTCCCATGCATATTTAAAGTGGTGTTTCTGTTTTGCATATGTTTTCCCTCATCTCAACAGCTCCTCACACGATCCGCTACTGATGTGTGCTGCCTTGTGTTTTCGGTTTGATTCTGTGACTGTCTCTCACGCGTTTCTGTCTGTGTGTTTTCCCCCAAGACTCGCTGAGTCTCGCACTAACCCCCAGGTGCTGGACATTGGGGTAAACCCTCAGGACTTCAACCCTGAAGAGTGCTTGTCGCCTAGCAACTGGGACAAAGCCGAAGCCGAGGACGCGTTCGGATTCTGATCGAACGAGAGAACGAGCTGATGGAACGTCACAAAGGGATCGAGCTCGCGGCAGCTCGTCACACTGGCGCCCTCTGGTGGCCGTCACTGATACCGCGTTTCAGTTTGACACACTGAACTTCAACAAAAGCACAGACCAAAGCAATACAGTATAAACACTTTTTTTATTTGCCCCAAATTATTTTTAAGTACATTTATATTTTATGTTACTTCCTATAAGTTAACTTTTATTTTTTTTTTATGTACGTGTACGAATATAAAGATTGTGTATATGACAAAAACACTGTAAAAAGTGTTCAGTTCACTTACTTATTATGTAAATAAACTTGATGCTTTACTTAGTATTTATTGATTAAGCATGAAGTTTATTTACTCAATAGTTTGAAGACAACTGGTTTCCTAAATTTTTAAGTTAAGTCAACTGATCACTTTTACAGTGAACTATCATATTTTTTCTGTTATTATTATTAATATTTTATTGGATTTTATTGCTGAGGCTAGGTTTGCGATTCTATGCAGTCAAATGTCGGAATATAAATTGAGATTTATGCATACTAAAGAGTTAAATGTCATGATTGAGGTTTGTGTGGAGTGGGATTGTTTTTTTAATGTTCTGAAGTGTTGAAGCTTTTGTGTATGCAAGTTGTCTGCCCTCATACAAAAACAAGTTTAATGAAAAAATGACTAAACGAACGTTACAGCATACCAATAAGAGAAGGCAGGGTATTTATATGAGACAGTTTTATCTTTTTCTATGAAAATGTATTTTTGCACTTCTCTCTGCGTCTATTTCTAAACCTCATCATTTAATTTCTGCTTATACCTTTTGAAACATATGCCTGCTGTTGGTTATTCTTCATTAGGTTATCCGTGTCAGACTGTAATATCATGCTATTATAAACACTTTGAAGAAAATCATGGTATTATCATCATGGTACTGTTTAAATAAAGCAAAATTTCATTTATGTGTTTTGTACCAATTTTGTACCATACATGTATTCCTCTGCCCAAAACATTTACCTGAATTTCTATTTGACAAGCACAGTAATATAAAATTTTCTCATCAACATAAACGCTTGCCTATGTTGAAATATAAACATCCTAAATGAGCCACAAACTGATATTCAACTTTGTGGATTTGATTGACTGAGAGAAATATGCAGTCGGTCGGTTCTTTTATGGTTTACATTGATGCTTGTCGTTGTATTTAGTCTTTATAAGTATAAATTATAACACCTCAGTGTTAGTTTCTGTTTGCATTAATCATTTGATGTTATTAATGAATTAAAACTGATAAAAGTACTTTGTATTGATTACTGTTTTGACATAATAAATCCCTCTAGCGGTGAGACTAATGCAGCGCTGTTATGTCGTGGACCTTATAAGGTAGAGTGGTAATTAATACCAAGTAATTATTATTAAATAATGGTTTCAATTCAATGGCAAAAAGTTGTCCATTAGTTCAAAGGGTGTCGTCACATTTTCACCGTTTATTCATAACAGATTGTATTTGGTGGAACACCAATCAAACCAATGATGTATATATAAGTAGTCTCTGCACTTGGGATAGAACCATAGACTGTCTGTAAGGATAGTGTTGTAACGCAAGATTAAAAAATAAATTAAAAAGACAACCAATTTCAAGCGAAGCACCAACTACCGTCGTCTGCCTTTCAGCCAATCACTGACCGACCTTTGCGTTACGTGTAAATATTAATGAGTTCCACGTTTTCACTAGTAGGATTAATAAATTCGGATAATTGAATTTTATTTATATTTTAGAAGGTTAATTATCTATATTTATTATTGAATTATTAAATATCTATGCTGTTTTATTTCTGAATATTTTTTAATACTTTCAGCCAATCATTAGGAGTAACTGCCGACCCACGTTTCCACGTTTTCACTAGTAGGATTAATAAATTCTAATTCTTATATATATTTATATATATATGTATATTGTAACGTACATTTTCTTCACTTGTGTATATTTATATACTATTTTGAATGATGCGAAATTGTGAGTAAAATTCAAAAAAATCAAAAATCACATGTTTGGGTTTCCATCCAATCATAAGACGAAGTGCGGCTGAGAGGTTATAAATATCAGGTGAAACCGCGCTGTGTACTTGATGATGGATGAAACTCAACGGCAGATTAAATAACAATTTCTAAAACAGAAGCTCTATCGACAGGTAAAATGTAAAATTTGTTATCCACACTTAATAATTAACTTTCAAGTAGTATTTGAGTGTTTTAACAAATTATAGCGAGCGCGTGGCACTACACATTTTGCCCGAAGCAATATTTTTTTTTAAAAACGAAGATTGTTTTCAAGTCTCGTGCACATATCTAACGTTAGTAGTATAACCAATTAGTTTAAAACTAAAGTCAATGTCACGAACATCTGTTTGACGTGATGCATTTCTTTGTTTGCATAAACAGGGAATATTAAGCATGCATCAAAATGACGAATTTGAATTGTGACTCCATGAAGTCAAAATGGACATTCGTCTAATCTACTGACAATAAACATTGTTTCTTCTTAGGTTCATGCACTTTCCTGCTTTGATAAAACTGACCAGACAGCACTTCTTCCTCTTCCAATCTTGAATAATAACAATGTTTAAGGGAGATTCCCCTTTGCACTTAAAACCACTATCTGTATATTCACATTTGGTGTGCTCTAAGCAGCAGAACAATGGCAACAGCCCTGTTTACAACATACAAGTACACATTTCAAATAATGAATCCAGAGCACAGAAGAGACGCCTTGATTCAAGTCTCGATGAGGTCTGTGAGACCCCCCTAAAAAGGCAACGCATCACTAGAACATGCTCCCAAGATCTTGGATATCATTCCTTGGACTTCCAGTCCGGGTCGCAGGGATCCACACCTCTGCAGCCACTGTTAATCAGAAAGGACATCACACCCCCTCGGTCAAAGGTCGATCAATCTGTGACCCCTGTAATGTCCACCCCTCTGTCCAAATGCAAACAAATCCATACAGATAGAGACCGGGAGAGTCTTCCCTCCCCGATACCAGTTCTGAAATGGGACAGAGAGGTTTTGTCTGCGGAGATAAAACTGTGTGCGTTCCTGAACTTCGAAGCCTGCAGTTCTGCTCCTTTTGTTGGCTCTCAGGGAACTGGCAAGGGTGATTTCAGTGAGGTATTCAGTGAGGTTCACGAATCAAAGTCTCAAAGCACAGCCCCAGAATCAGTTGTTCCATTGAAAGAGGAAGAAGAGCTGTTGTCGGTCAGTCAGCAGGCAAATCCAGAGGCATCATCGGACCGAGGCCGAAATGAAGAAAGTGCCTCAGATACGTTTGAAAGCACGCTGCCCCTTCAGGTCCAGGTTTGAGCTCCATCTTTTATATATTTGTAGCATTATCACTGGTTTCTGTCATTATTTTCTGTCTCTGATGTTGTTTCATTCAGACCTTTTATTTTGCCTGTTGTGGAACATGATAAGAGAACATTTCAGCAATCTTAAAGCAGATTGGTAACATCTGGAAAGCTAAACAAGCCCTTACAAATATTTGTTAACTTAAAGGTATAGTTCTTTTTGAAATTATTTTTTGTTATGTTTTAGCTTACCTCAAGGGCATCCAAGGTTTAGGTTTTGTTTCCGCAGTAGTTTCAATTTTGATATTTTTAGGTCAAACCGTTCTTGTCTGTCAGTCATATCCCAGCTAACAAAGTTAGGTTCTGAGAACGTTTTTCTAACGTTCCATTTTGGTTGTGGGAACGTTAATTTAAAATGTCTTAAAAACGTGGAAATGTCCAGTCTTAATGTTTGCAGAACGTTGCTGAAACGTTAGCATAATGTTGTTAGAACGTTATCCTAAGGTTAGCATAATGTTGCTGGAACGTTATGAGAACGTTTATCAAACACAAATAACCTGATAAAGACGTTCCGATAACGTTGTTCTAAGAACGTTTTTTATCAACGTAATGAGAACGTTCATCAAATACAAATAACGTGATAAAGACGTTCCAAGAACGTTTTCTCTCAACGTTACAAGAACGTTAATAATGTTATATGAACGTTCCGAAAACATTATTTTAATAACGTTTTGTCCTAACATTTACACAACTTTTAAAGAACGTTAGTGAATGTTCTGGGAACGTTCCCTGTTAGCTGGGATAATGGAGATCTATGGTCACCACCTCAAAGAGCATCCACAGAGAAGTCCAAATTAAACATGATTTAATGACTTGTAAATGTAAGTACACATCGATGACCTACGACACGAAACGAGCGGTTTGTGTGAGAAAACGAACAGTATTTATATCGTTTTTACCTCTTGTTACCACAGCCAAGTCCAAGTGATCTGATTCTAAGGAGAAAAAAAGACTAATATTTTCCCCTCAGAATAGTTTATATCTCACAATTCTGATTTTACAACATGCAATTTCGACTATATCATGCATTTCTGACTTTATAAAACGCAATTGCGACTTTATATCAATCAATTCTGACTTTGTATCATGCAATTCTGACATTTACCATTTATATATCACAATTCTGAGAAATAAAGTCAGAATTGCGAGATGTAAAGTTAGAATTGTGAGATAAAAAGTCGCAATTAACTATTTTTCATTCTGTGGTGGACACAAGCTTTCATACAAAAGAGCTGCGTAAAGTATCTTCAGAGAGTATAAAAGAATGACAGAATTGCCATGAACAGATGTTACTCATCAGCAATGAGTTCTCCTACTTCCCAACTGCGTTTTTGTGCGCTGAGCAGGTGAAATCTAAAGTGGTGGTTCCGGGCAGCACGAAGACCATCTGCAAACCAGTGGTGTTGTCTAGTGAAGACGAGTGGGAGAGAAACAAGAGAACATATGTGGACTCGGTGAAGAGACACATGAAAGAGCAGAACGGAGCAGCAAACGGTATCACACTTTACCAAACTATCATACATGTGTTTTTCCAGGTGTGTACCAAACCTGTAGAAAGTGCTGCAGGAATTATGTTTTTTTGTAGGCGAAACCCAGGACATATTAGCATTTTGTTTCCATCATCTGAAAGTCAATGAATGGATTATTTTTTTTGTTGAATGTGTGAGATAAGGTATGTGGTTACTTGTTGACAGCCTCGTCATGTTTACACTTAACTCAAAATTTTAAATAATTAAGATTGAAATAGTTTTTGGAAGCTTAATGTTGGTGACGTTTAAGCCATGCGACTGTGCTGTAATTCATTTATACGTAGCTTAACTTTAGGTTTTTACTTGTGGTAGTTGTATTTAGGCTTTAACATTCACAAAAGTTGTCTGTGTTCACACTTTGAGAAGTCAATGTGAACACTGACTTATCAGACTAGGTTGAGAAGTGTTTTGATATAACAGCAGTATGCTTTCCACTGCACAAACGTGAATGTGATATGAAGGATGCTGTTGACTAGTGTGTGTGTGTGTGTGTGTGTTGGCAGGTGCGATCACTGAGCTTCATTCTTTGATGAACACTATTGCTAATCGGAGAACTGGAAGGAACGACCCACACTGGCAACACCCTTCAGATCTCACTCGCAGGTAAATGTCACATACATGTTACACCCCAAAATCAAAAGAAGTTATGTTTTGAAAATAGAAAATGCAGCCTTTTCGAAATTCGAAGTAAGTAAATGTAAAAGTAAAAATAAATAAAGGAATAAATCACTTGATAAAACAAATACTTCACTTAAAGGGATTGTTCACTTTGAAATTTTATTTTTGATATGTTTTATCTTACCTCAAGGGCATCCAAGATGTAGGTGTCTTTGTTTCCACAGTAGTTTCAATTTTGATATTTTTAGGTCAAAACCGTTCGTGTCTGTCAGTCATATAATGGAGGTCAATGGTCACCACCTCAAAGAGCATGCACAGAGAAGTCCAAATTAAACATGATTTAATGACTCGTAAATGGCCTAAGACGCGAAACGAGCGGTTTGTGCGAGAAAACGAACAATATTTATATCGTTTTTACCTCTTATAACCACAGCCACGTCCAAGTGATCTGAAGGCACGGGCGCTTGGGTCTGCGCAAGTGCCGGAAGTGATCTCTCACGCGTGTACATCACTCATTGTTTATACAGTTGCCCTTCACTGTGAAGATCTTAACATATTTAGATGTACAGGAAATCACAATGTGTTTAGATCTTCACAGTGAAAGGTAAAACTTACAAAATCTCTGTGTAAACAATGAGTGACGCAAGCCATCACTTACACGCAAGCCATCAGCGCCCGTGCCTTCAGGTCACTTGGACGTGGCTGTGGTTCCGAAACGTGATCTTAATTGCATAATTTACTTAAACATAACAATATTGCTGGCCATAAATGGAGAATGTGTGCGTCCGGTGTGCGATATTTTGAGTTGTCCTAGACGTGGTGCTTCTCGTCCGGTGTGCGACCCCCTTAAAGGGATACTTTACCCAAAAATGAAAATTCAAGTAACTCAAACCTGTATGAGTTTCTTTCTTCTGCTGAACACAAAGGAAGATATTTTGAAGAACGACTGGAACTAAACAGTTGTTTGGCACCATTTACTTCCATAGTAGAAAAAAAAAATACTATGGAAGTCAAAGTTCCAATCATTCTCATTTTTGGGTGGAGTATCCCTTTAACTGTAATGAAGAAAACAAAGAAAGCTAATCGCGGGCTGAAAGCAAGATGGCCAGAGCTTTTTTTTTTTTTTTTTTGGCTGATTCGGAAAATATGTTATTGTATGTTATGTTTAGCTTCCTGATTTAGTGTTTGTAGCCAGATTTAATTTCTTATGTTGTCCTACCAACATATTCTTGCCAAGAAGTGTCTACCTAGACAGGAAGCGACCATCTAAAGTACATGTTTACTCAAACCCCAACTTTGCTCATTTCAAAACAGCCTTTAAAATGTATTTTGAGTCTGTAAAATTTTTAAAAAATCGAAAAGCCCAAAGATCTATATCCCTCCTAAAAGAATTTAATATATCTGTGATGCTCTCTATCTTTATTTTATTTTTTTTCTTTCGTGTTTTTTTTCTTTTTTCTTCTTTTTCCAAATCATTGTTGTTTCATGTTTTACTTATCAAATGTTATACTTATCAGAAAATGTGTAAAAGAAATGTCAAATACTTGATATCAAACTCTGATTTTGAAAATTCAATAAAAAAAAAAAATAATAATTTTTTTTTTGTCTATTAATGCAGTCCCTCCACTAGGGGGAGCCTTCAAACTCTGAGAAAATATGCAACCAGAGGCTGTTCTGTTTGAATGGAAGTCAAGCGCCGTATTTCATTTGTTAGGAATGAAAATCCGTCTGTGGTTATATATGTAGAAGTTAATAGTTAAAGCAATCAAGGGGTCATGGAAATGAGTGTAAACTTTGTGATTAGATTTTCTGTCCATCCAAGACTAATAACTCTCACAGGTAATATCTATAGCAGCATATACAGTTCAGCTTATGAATATTTAATTATGTTGGTTGAGTGAAACCTGCAGTTTCCCAATTCTACAATCATTGTGTTGTGTTTTTTTTTCTTCTCCATTTGTTTGTAGGAATTTCCGTAAGTCGCGTCTCAAAGGTCCATCGGTCTCCCTCGACGAGTGGCAGAAAAGAAACCTCCTTGTCTATCGACGCTTTGTTAATGTGCCAGACATTTTCCGCAGAAGCCCAGTGCTGTGATTTATTTATTTGTTTTTATTGATATATATATATATTTGTTGTCAATTCATATATTTGCTCTTTGTCATTGTTATAAAGGTGAGAATCATTGGTTCATGCTGCTGGTTGAAGTGATAAGTGCTCACTGAAAGTCTGATCTGCTTTTGTGTGTTTATTTGTGATTTCACAGTGTGTAGTGTATGTTTTTACTGCATCATTTCACAGTGTGTGGTGTGTGTGTTTCATCTGGTGTTGGGCTAATTATCTATCTATAGATATACGTGTGTGTCTGTGTGAATTTGCATGATCTGTATTCTCAGTTGTTTAAACCTTTACCTCAACCAGCGCTTATTCACCTCACTATTTACAGCTAATATAGTTTTAGTTTCAATAGCTAGACAAATTTGTCTAATTTACTAAAGCTAAAGTTTGCTAAGCTAAAGCTGAATGTTAGATTCGTTCCCTTTCCCCTCCTTGTACAGTACTTTCAATTATGGTTGTACATAATTCATTTTGCTTTGTCTGAGGAAAACTTTTCTTTAGCTTTTCTGTGAAGAATTGCTATTCCATTTTTTAGCATTAAATGCATATAAATGGGCACATAGATAACAGATTTTATATTTTGTAAGCAGGAAAATGTCCTTAGAGAAACAATGTTCGACTGAATGTTGTGATCTTTTGATTGGTTTTGTTCTTTTGTTACATTGCTTACAGTTTTATAACCTTTATACATTTAAATAATAAAAAATAATTACTTTATTTGTCTGTCTCTCTCTCTCTCTCTCTCTTTCTTAGCATTATTCCTGCTCATTTGTAGGATCCACTTTACACGCTATAAATAAAATTTACATTATTCAAATCTGCCAACAGTTTAAATCTATCAACACTGGTAAATGTGAAATATAAATCAGTGCTTCTGATTTTTTTGTGTCATGCATGCATGTCTATTTCCCTCATGTTAAATATAAAACGCACGTGGGCTGATATTTTTCCAATGTCTGGACATATGGAAAGGGTCAGTCATAATTGTGACCACTTATGAAGTTTTGTTTCAAGTAAATTTTGTTTTGTATAAATTGAATGCTCATTTTAGTCAATGTTTTCATTAACAAATTGACTGGATTAATAAAAAAGAAGCAAATATAGTAGACAATATAATTAGGAAATGGAGGTGCCGGCACGTGAACGGGAGCATGTCTCATTTTCAACCCCCATCAATTTAAAGGGATAGTTCACTTTGAAATTATTTTTTTGATACGTCTTAGCTTCCATGAACGAGTTCGAACAGGAGAGTCAGGAACGCGCATCACAGAATAGAGCATGGCGACCATTTGAGCTTATAAAACTTATTTTTTTTTAATGAGCGATCGTTTCGTTTGATAAGACCTGTATTCATCGTCAGAATCGTTTAAAGCCCTTTAAACAGTTTGTATTGAAACTGTCTTTTGGACCTTGAACCGTTTGGTTCCCACTGAAGTCCGTTAAAAATGAGGAGTTGACGTCATTGTACAGAGCCCCTCCCCTCTCCGCCATGTTGGTAGGATTGCCAGGCAAAACCATGGGCAAAACATGATTGTTTACGTGTGTTAGAGGAGGTTCTCGCAATTCCGCACTGTTTTAACATGCCTGGAAGTCACTGCTGAACTCCTCCAGTAACACGAAACATATGGAAAACATAGGAACAATGGAATACAGGTTTTTTGGTTACCAAAATGGACACAGCATCAGGGAAAGTATCTGACGAGGAGACGCTGGATTGCTTGGTTGGCTAATGCCCTTAGTATACGATTTTCACTGTTTGCATACGCAACACTAGCCTGGCTGCGCCTTCCTACGCACTTCCGCTCAATTTCATGAAATGAAATGAACTAGAGTCTGGTTGAACCAGGCTAACGCAACACATACACAAAAGTGTTGTTTGAGTGCCTTGTTCATTACTTTTTTATTTCTTTGAAATAAATGTTTGAAACAACTTGATATGGCTTAAACAATATTTATTGAGAACGGAAACAATGTTATTTTTATATATATATTTTTGGACAACAACATAATAATACTGCTATTAGTGCAAAAGAACATCTTGATGCTGCTTTTCCAAATACCGTTGTTTTGCACTTTTGTGAGTTTGTTCCTATGGTCCCTTTTCTTTTGCCTTATCTTTTTGCATTGTTTTACTCTCTTCCTTTTTTTTCTCGTATTCTTAGATCCGTCTCTGTCCTGCCAAAATAATGAGCTCGCTAAAGGCGTTGCCGCTGGTGGCTGGTAACCGATAGCGTTTCCTACGCTCAGACCCCGCCCAAATTGATGCGTCATCAATCCGGAAATCGGCCATTTTGGAGGCACAGAACGTAAACAACATTGAACAGAACGGACTCGCAAAAAATGGTTGCTGAAAAATGGTCGAGTTTTGGTCCACTGATCGGTCGCATCGGGAAAATACCTTTCGAGTTCTATAGACTTCCAAAAGTTAAAGAGAAGAGTGCAAAAAACTGATGAAAGAAGGCGTTTGTGGTCGAAAGAGGCACAATTGTCCTAGACTTGTGCGTCGTGCATCAGAAACTGGTTCACTTTACATAGTTTCTTCCGAAATTACTTCCGAATATTTTACATTGGGCATCAAGTGGTGTCCCAGCACAGATCCAAACTGTTTATCATACAAATCTAAACAAGAATCTATTTAAACTCCTTAAACGACCCTATTAGAACAAACTTGATGACCCACCCACGGAGAACTAACAATATAAATAAAACAGTGTTAAAGATGCGCAAATGAAGGAATTAGCCAAGCTATTTTCGATCAGTAAGATTTAACCAACCCAACGCTATACACATCCAAGCAGAACTTCTGAACCCGAGCTAACTGAATCAAATTCCAGTAAAAAGATGAATAAATCTGCTGATAATGATTTACTGTTTTAAATTAGGTTCTAACATATTATTAAATACTTGTCTTGCCTGACATAAATAATGGTTAAACTGGTCACTTTATGCTTGTGTTTATAGCATGACTTACATGCGGTGTCGGAACGTGTCCATTTGTGTTTATATGTATACAGACTGCTTTTGTCAAGGCACATGTTGGGAAGAGAAGCCAGAATCCTGTCTTGTGTTATTGATGATGGACCACAGACTGAGAGGAAAAAAATCCACAGATACAGGTACTGTCAGGAACGGGCCTTGATCGGATCAAATGATCTGCTTTTAATGTGCAAAATCAAGAGTACGCAATCATTTGGACTAATTAATGGTGATTTTTTGTGTGTGTGTGTGTGTGTGTGTGTGCATTTTAATCATTTTAGAGCTTATTCAATAGCAAAAACAACCATGGAACGACCTGTGGGTGAGTAAATGATGAAACGTTTTCTATTTTGGTGAACTATTCTCATTGTTATAAATGCACTGATAGAAATATTAAATTAAAGGAAACAACAAACATGAAGCTGTAAGTATCTGAAATAATCCAAACTTTTCAATGGTGAAGATAAACAAATGATGAATCAATGGTGCATGTGTGGGTCTGTAATATGTGCATGTCTTGAAAGTCATCTTCTCCTAAAATGGAAATCATGGTGTTGAGGAGTGGCTTGATAAGTTTCAATGAGAAGTTTCAGATTTTTAGTTTCTCATTAAGGTTGGACTCGTCCCTTCGGTGCCTGGGTTCTGTGTAAGTTCACCTCTTTACTCTCATCTTTTATTATATTTAGAGAACAGAGCGGTTTGCACTGAGGTGATCTGAGTATAATCCATGCAAAGGCATTATGATGATACTATGATCGAGAATTTTAGCATGTCGAGATGCTTGAGAGAAAAACTTCACAGAAAAAATCACTGGGTTTTTCACGTTTGTACTATAAACAAAAGTTCAAATAGCATCTTATGTATAGATTTTATTTGGGTTTTATTCAAGCCTCTTTTTGTGGGTTCAGATCTCTCATGTTCACTAGCCATTATTTTCATAGACACAGAGTGAGGATTGATCCTAAACACATTAGGAAAACAATCTATGCTAAAACTGGAAACACATTTGCTGCTTCTGTTATTGTTAGTGGCTTGGAATGAATATGAATTTGAAATATTAGAACTGTTTTTGTATGTATTCAGATGTGTGTAACTGAGATTAGCATCAACTGAATAGCATTTCAAATGTTTGGTTATTTCAAGAAAAGATGATATCAAGACAAGGTTTATGTTGTCATAAAAATATTGATGCCATGATATGAAATCCTACACAGTCTATGTATAACATTTATGTATATAAAAATGTAATATTGAATTTAATAATTCTTGAATTATTTAAAACTATAATTTAAATATGATTGTCATGGTATTTAACTTTTAGATGTTCAAGCTCTGCTTCGCATCGAGGTCTTTATATAATTATTAGAGCAAAACTACATTTAGTCTATATTCAGATATATATTAATTACATAATTTCTTAGAATTATGTTCTAGTCTTAGTGGCTTTTGTTTTTGATCAGTTGTAATATTAGTTGTTGTACACACAATCACTGAACAATTGTATTATACATATTTCAGACAACTGCATGTTAAATAGCATTAAAAAATTAATTTAATACATTAACAAAAGATATGATCAAGACAGTATACTTGTGTCCTCATACAAATACTCATGCATGTTAATAAAACTAATAATTTTCTCAATACTGATAAAATATTTTGTAAAAATGTTAATTAAATAACAACAAAGTCATAAATTGTTTAGCATTTTGTAGTAGTTTATCGTTTATTTACATCTATGTTCACTAATTTGCACATATAATGTAAGAACCTGAAAGTGAGTGATGTTTACAGATCTGTCCTGTAATTTTGCCGTTCTGCTGGAGATGTCTGTCTGTTCTTCATCTGATGGGCTTGTGCTACATCTCAAGTAAATATTTTGCTGAACTGTAGACTGATGTTTTAAGGATGTAAGAGTAATTCAGAGACTAAGGAAGTCCACAAACATTAGCCCTTCAGAGGAGAATCCCCTCAATGCTAGCCCACATGATACAACAATGGATGGGTTTTAGATCATCCTTGACCTTGATATGTTTGTCTGGGACCAGGAGACGTGCGTACATTTGACATGTATTTGTATCTTGAAGATATGTTAAATCGATGAATAGACATGGAGTCTTGGTCTTCTAGGCTTCACTAGTTGTGAAATTTCTGCAAATGCTGCTGCATCGGTGCACATTTGATAAAGTCTGATCGGACTTGTTGCGGTTTTGCTGACCTGCGATGGCCGTGGTTTATATGGTAAACATAAAGTGAACATAAAGTAAACATAAAGTGCGCCGTTTGGATACAAGGCCCTTGTGTGGTAAGGACGTTTAAGTGGTCGTAGTCCCAGTAATACACACAAACTGTAGATCTCATATCTCAACCTGACAGTCTTGACAAACAGTGTGTTATTTTTCATTCAACAACAGGAAAGATCGGTTGGAAAGTGGAAAGATTTCTGTGTCCTTTGATATATATAACAACATCCCTACTTTCCTAATATAGCCATTCATTCTTTCTTAAAGGGATAGTTCACTTTGAAATTATTTATTGGTATGTTTTAGCTTACCTCAAGGGGATCCAAGATGTAGGTGTCTTTTGGTGCTTTTCCACTGCATGGTACGGTACGGTTCGGTTCGGAACGGCTCACTTGTGGTGCTTTTCCACTGCATGGTACCGTACAGTACGGTTCGCTTCAGGACGCTTTAAATGGTACCTGGTCTGTTGAGGTTCCATGCGTACCGTACCGGTACTAA